ATTTTGAGTTATTATCAGACGCTGCCTACCTACGTTCCCTTCATCGATTTAAAAATTTCTTACTCTTTAAAACCAAGCTTTTGTCGGTTATTTCCCTTTTACTTCCCATTACGCATTATCGACAATGCAGAGGTGTGACCTCCAGATCTATCGCAAAATCTTCTTAACTTGGAGCGCCATCTCAACAGCTGTATAAATTTATTTTTGAGTAGCTACCTCCCACCCGGGTTCGCCTGGGTAGTGCCTATCAATGTGGGGTCATATTTAAGAATATCAACCCGCCCGGGTTCGCCTGGATGGGATGTATAAAGTAATCAAAGACCATTTATTTTATCATTTTCTTCGTTTATTCGAAAAAAATTTTTCTGATAAAATATACACAGTCTAGACCCCTTCCGTCATTGCTCTCTATCTGTTTGTAAAGTTTCATCGCAATCGGTTTAGCCGTTTTGAAGATTATCTCGGACAGACAGCAAACAGACAAACAAACATTTTAAAAACTGTTATTCTTGTAGGCATGCGAATAACCTCGTCAGCTCAATAAAAAGGCAGTTGTTTTGATATTACAGACTCACTTAAATTTTATTTATATGAATGAATTGAATGTGTATTTACGTAAATATTTATTACTTTTAGTTCCAATTTTGAATGGCTCCAGAATCTTAGCAACCCTTTTTTCTATATTAAATGATAAAAAAATTAACTTCCTATTATATATATATATATATATTTCTTTCATATATATAGCAAATTTAAAATGGTACTATTAGTCATATTAAAAATGCGGTGTAATCTTATCCTTTTTCGGTATATTAAAACAAAAACGTATGTTTTATATACATATATATATACAGATACAGAGCGCATAAACGTGCGTTTATCCACTCTGTATCTGTACATTTTTCACAGTTTTTTTATAAAGTAAGCGAGGATCATAAACAATATGAAGATGACATAGTACCATAGCACTAAGCTGTTACAAAGCAGCAGTCTAACCTCCTGAGTACTTATACAGCAATGGAGGCAAACGCAGAATATATTGAAGAGGTGGCTACCAGCGCTCGCGCAGCCCGTCGCCACTCCAGCCAAACGTGCTTCAGCCAAAAGGATTTCATTTAAAATTTTGAGGCTCTCCCCGAGTTGTGGGACACGAAAAACCCAGGGTATACGAATAAATATAAAAGGTAAGAGCTTCTTTTTCGTCCTAAGCTATTTAAATAAATAGATCCGTTTCAAATAATAATCACATAGCGTCAAATATTTGAAATTACATAAAAGTAGCGTTAGCAAGGTTCAATTTTTTTTTCATAATTTGAAATAGGTAAAATAATATTAAATATTACAATCGTTACTATTATGATTTCTTATATTTACGCGAACACTATACGTTGATTCAAACTACTTTTACGGATTTTTTCGCGTTTATTTATGTTAATTTTAATACCCGACGTTTCGGGTGCTTTCCAGCACCCATGGTCACGGGGGACTGAGGTGACTGACGTCCCGATGTCAAAGTTAACCCGGAGTACCTTCAGTTTTTTTTTCTTCTTCTCAAGATAATAAATTACAGCAAAGTGGAATAAATTTGTCCATTTTTAACACTCGCGTGCCCAGCATTTATGAACGACTCTTACTCTAATTCAAATTAATATATTTGTAATTTAAATGTTTATTAATAAGTTTTGTTAAACATACATTTAGTACGTTTTTTTATATTTGACATAGTTACCTTTTAAATTATGCAGTTAAAATTTATCATTAAAATGTAATTGTGATATAATATTATGTAATATTACTTATATGTATTACATATAAGACACAAAACAAAAGACAAATTTTAAAATTTTTACTCGATATAATTTACCTAATTAATAATGCAATCTATTATTACATACTGAACATTCTACCTCTACGTTTATTATATGATAAAAAAGCAACCGCGCATGCGCTACACGCCACACTACTCTTTACTGCCCATGCGCGAAGACATGAGTAGCGCACATTATTTGTTTGAAATAGCTGTTCTAGTACGTAAGTACATATTACTTCAACGCTTGAAAATGATATTCAACCTTCTCGTCAATCGAGAGATGCTCTGACTCATGAAGGTTAGAGAACAGGAGAACGATCGCCGTAGAAAATAGTGTCCCAGATATATGGACACCATCAGTGAGGCGCTGCGATCACTAAGTGCAGTCAATAAAAGTCATTTTCAGTCTATTTTTCCAATCAGATGTTCAACCACTTGCACATCCACGCACAATAAAATATTTCTCCATTTTTTAATGTTTCTTTTCTTCAAAAATTACAAACTTACGGAGCATGAAAATTTTCTGCGAAAAAATAAAACGAAAATTTGTACAATATTCAACTAACTTCACCTACTTGTACTCATAAACAGCTAACTTCGCAGTCACTACTCACCGACGTCAGCGCCGCTATGTATTCTACAATTTTCAAGGACAGGCGGGCTATGCTTTAGTACGTAGTGATCGTTCTCCTGTTCTCTAACCTCCATGCTCTGACTTTTACTGAATGTGACATCCTGCACAGACACGATCAAACAAAGGTCTTACTTTCCAAATTTTGTCAAATGCAAACTAAGAGTTGACTCTCTAAGACATCGTTGTCAAAAACCACTTTCAGTCAGTTTCTCAACAAAAAATCTATCACGAGCCTCGTTATCTGCTACTATTGGAAGCCGCCATGCTTTTTCCTGAAACATTTTGATTTTAGGAAAGCCGATACTGGCCATGACCATAGTAACGCCATTGATTATCTTCAACTCCCTAATTGTGAGATTCCTTTGACACTTCATCTTTTGTTTATTTTGACGCTGTAACGATCTTTTCTAAAATATTGTCATCTTTGTAGTCCTCGAAATATTCAAACATTTTAAAACTACAGAGATCTCTCTGGATATAACTAGGTGAGTGCAAGTTATGAATGGTTGGACTAAATGTTCCATCCAAGTGTTGCTTATAACAGATGTTTGATTGTAATCTTGCGCACCTCTACCCCTTCCGCGTACTCGTACTGAGTGTACTGTTCCTTGCAGCTCTGCGTGACGGCCTTCCGTTACTCTAGAATTCGCTAGTCCACAAGTCAATAAAGACGATGAAAGGGCTGTCGACACATTTCTAATACCTGACGTTTCGGGTGCTTTACAGCACTCATGATCACGGGGGGGGGACTGATGTTTGACGTCCCAATGTCATTGTTAGCCCGGTTACCTTCAGTTTTTGAATATTTATTTTAAACTCAAACAGAAGCATCTACTTCTAGAACTCACATGAATCTATAAATAATGGCGAAACATCATCTTCCAGAATTGATCGCAATAGCCTAGGCCCTGTATCTCCTTATTACAAAAGTCCTGTACCAAAAAATCAGAAAGATATCTAATAGGGGTAGAAAAGCTGCTGTGGCTTCTGTTATAACTTCGTCACCCCATAAAAGAGACCTTGTTTAAAAAATAGAAGAATATTGAAAAAGAAAAGAAAACTAAAGATAAGAAAGTCAAAGTAGAGAAAACAAAACCGTAGAAATAAGAAAAAAAAAACAACTAGTGACGATGAAGTGATTGACAGTGAAGGTGGAGAGGTTTTTCAGTTTGGTTCATACTCTGAACCAGATATCATAATCGGCAAAGAAGCTCCTGAATCTGCAGATGCATAATGTAACTTTTTTCAGAAAATTCAGGAGACTGGATTAAATTCTTGATGTGTGGGTTCTGGGCACATAATGGCTGTGTTGGGCCAGAATTTGATAGTTGGATATGAGACATTTGGATCTAAAATAATTCATTTCTTACTCTTACCAAAGTTAATTATTGATCTAGATAAGCATTTATGCTTATAATTATCTTAAAAGATAATAACGTTATAGCCCATATTTGAGTACATGTTCCATATTTAGTGCCAATTTTGCAATTTTGTTTAATGCTCAATTTTGATAGTGTAGTTTAGTAATAAAAACATAAGACTGTTATTTTGCTCTTTAAAAATATATATCTGAGTATTATAACATTAATATAAAGTTGATTTTTAAATAGTTTTTAAATTTTGACCTGAAAACAAAATGGTAGTCCGTATTTAGTTACTCTCCTCTAATAAATCTGTAGAAAAGTCGTGTCTGTAAATCTAATATTTTCTAAAAAAAAAAAACGAAGTCAAGGGGATTAAATAAAGGTCACTAAAGCCAAATTAGTGGTTTTTAGAATTTTTGTCTGTCTGTGTATTCACGATTCACGCAAAAACTACTAGACAGATTTCCATGAAAGTTTCTGTATAGGTAGTTTCGGACCCGGTGCAACTTATAGGCTATTTTTTATCCGATTACGGAACTTCAAAAAAAGAAGGTTTAAGTATTTTTTTTCATTAAGATGTTATTTTCTATTTTATATGATTGATGTGTTTATTTTAAATAAATAATAAAGTTATCAATAAAGATTTAAATTAGTTTTAACTGTTGCGTAATAATTTGAAAAACGCCGACAATCTACTTATCATTTTTTATAACAGTGCTATCTAACGTAAAATACAAAAAGTACTAACATTTTCCTCCAGTTACCTACTAATAAATTAAATTATATAAATAACCTACATTTATATGTTTAAATAATTAAGTTTATTCATTGTTTTGTTTCATTTAAAAATACATTTTATAGTACCTAACTAATTACTACTTAAATAAATTATAGTGACGGGTACGAAAATTATAAAACCTAAGATGTTTTTAGTTTAATTTCTAATCTATAAAAAGTTATAGTATGTATTAGTTTTTTATCTATCAATAAACTGATACAAACTGCACAACTCTGCAAAACTCTCATTTTCCTTTATATAGTTTAAATAAACATGTACAAAACAATTACAATATAATAAATCTATCATGAATACTGCTTTTAAGAATGAGATACCAATTTAGTAGGTATAATTTTATTTACTTAAATTACAAAATAATACTGTCAATACAAACAAGAAAGTAAACATTTACGATTATGGTATGCATTTTTTCTCCAGTTTTCCACCATTTTCAACATAATGATAATATTTGTCGTAAACATCGTTCCAGAAATTAAGCCTTTCTAAAAGCGGTGATGGAAGGGTGCCTTCAGTCGGATTTTCATTTATAATGAGTAATGATCCATTTTGTCCGTACTCAGGCCATTTAAACTTGCTAGCAAAGTCCTTTGGAGTAGGATTGCTGGAAAAATAAGGACAGAAAATTATTAGATTTTATTATGCAAATAGTTGTGTAGCGGTACCTTTAGGGAATCTATTACCATTTATTATCCCGTGAGCGACGGAAGAAGCAACAGAGTGAAACTGTATTCTATATTATTTATCTGTCCGAGCTGCAGTTGTCGTTCACAGTTGTCTCACACGCATAGCGCAACAGTAATGTATTGGATGTGATTGGGATATATCGGGACAAGATGATTCTGACACAAGAGATATTAAAATGTTTGATCGGACATAAGAACTAATAACGCTTTTTTCCTCAAATGTTAATAAATGCTTCTTTTTACACTAAGTATATAAATTTCAAAAACATGTTATAATGACTCTTTCTTTAGTCACTTCATAATCTATAAGAAATCATAATGTTCTAAAGTATAACTTCTTTACCACAATCTGTGTATATATATATATATATATATATATATATATATATATATATATATATATATATATATATAGAGCTAAGTGGACTGTATTTATTTGTTTTTCTATTATGTATACGCTAGGGATTACTATATTGTTGCAAATTGAAATGAAATTAACTAACTGAGCCTAATTCTGTGACATCTGGGGTTGAGTTGAAATTAAAACCGTTAAAATGAATTTACTATATTTACAAACTATTTACAATTTATGTGGCAGTTAACACTAAACTATTAGGGATATTGAGGGCTTCTTGCTTGCTTGTTCTTCCGATTGGGCCGCTTGCTGTCGCTCGAATTGCCGTCGCTCGAATGACGAAGCCGCGCCAGAAGCGCTTCTTATATTCTGTAGGACGGTGCGCCGTAGGCACCGAGTTAGTGAGAGTGTCGTCCGCGCGGGGCCCTTGTTCTAATGCGGGGCGCGCGGGGACGTGTCGACGTGGGTGCGGTGCGGGGCGATGGACGAATCTACTCGCCGTCCGCAACATCCTCCCCCCGACGTCTACGTCGAGAAACGGCTCGAGACGAGAAGAGGCTCTTCTCTCGGGAGGACGGCGATCTTCCTGACCGGCCTCCTCAGCAAACCGCCTCTCGTCCGAACTTCGACGTTCCGAACCACTCCATCTGGTCCGGGGAAGGTTCTTGTGACGACTCCTCTTGGCCATACGTTCCTCGGGAGGTTGCCGTCTGCTATGATGACAAGGTCATCTTCTTTGATCTGGGGCTGCTGGGCGTTTCTCGATTCCCCTCTGAGCACCAGGGTCGGTAGGTACTCACGAACCCAGCGTCGCCAATATACGTCGGCCAGTCCTTGTGCAGCCCTCCAGGTCCGTCGATCCGCTGATGAACACGTCGCGGTGACTGGCATGTTGGATGGTCCCAACAGAAGAAAGTGGTTGGAAGTCAGGGCTTCCTCGTCGTCGATCCCGACTGGCACGTGAGTGAGAGATATGGAGTTTACAGTGTTCTCAGCCTCTGTCAATAGAGTTATTAATGTTTCTTCCTTGGGGCTCTTTTGATGAAAAGTAATCTCGAGCGCTGCTTTGATGGAACGCACCAATCGTTCCCATGCGCCTCCCTGGTTGGGCGCACCCGGTGCGATGAATTTCCACTCCGTTCGATGAGTAAGCGCGAAGTCCTTCAGCTGCGGTGCCCACTCCTCCATGGCCCGTCGTAATTCGGTGTCTGCTCCGTGGAAATTGGTGCCGTTGTCTGAGTAAATTACCCTAGGCCACCCGCGCCTAGCCGCCATACACCTAAGTGCCATTATCGCCGAGTCCGTGGTTAAGCCATATACCAATTTTACGCGTACCGCGCGCGTCGTAAGACAGGTGAATAACGCAACCCATATTTTCTCATGCCGTCGCCCTATAGTTACAGTTAACGGCCCGAAATAATCTAATCCGGTATACGTGAATGGTCGTTCGAACACTCTTAACCTCTCGGGAGGCAAGTCTCCTATTACCGCCGGTCGTGGTGCTGCTTTCCTAACGCGACATCGCATACACCTTTTCTCGATTTCCCTAACCGTAGGTCGCAGTCGAATAATGTAGTACTTTCTTCGCAAGTCGTTGACTACTCGTTCTCTGTAGGCGTGGCTAGCGTCCTGGTGCGCCTTCTCCACGAGCATCTGTACGCACCGGTGTCTTCCGTTCAATATGACCGGTCGTTTCGTTTGATTTTCCACAGCGGCCGCATCGATTCTACCTCTTGCTCTTAGTTGTTTTGGTAGGAGCCGTTGGTACACACTTCCATTGATCGGGTGGTGACTTTCTCCTATCTCCCCGAGCCTATGTGCGACGTATGGAGCGTAACGCACCGTGTCATTTCTAATCCAATGGAGCGCCGTTGTAGAGTCTGTCCAGAACACTACCCTATCCGCTCTCATCCTATGCTCGCTTTGTACGAATTCGGCAAGTCGTACACCTACTAAATTCGCCTGTAATTCGAGTCGCGGTATGCTTTGACTTTTAATCGGAGCGACTTTCGCTTTGGCCGCTACTAACGTGACTCGTATCGTACCGTCGCGATAACGGATACGCCAATAAGCTGCGGATGCGTATACACTTTCACTCGCGTCACTAAAAATATGCAATTGACGAATTACTACTCCCCCCGTAGGAGCATAACACCGCGGGAGATATAACCGTGGTACATCCTCAACGGCTCGCAACCATCTCGCGAATTCGTCCGCGGCCTCCTCGGGAATCTCATCATGCCAACCGATTCTCTTCATCCGCCACAGGTCTTGTAGCAGAATCTTTGCGGTAATGGTGAGGTAGCTGAGCAGCCCTAGTGGATCGAAAACGGACATAACCGCGCTCAGCGCCTCCCTCTTAGTCGGTGGACGGTGTAGTAATTTAACGTCGTGCGGCACCCTATTCATAGACGTGTTACCCATAATAAACCTAATTTCCTACCGGGACCATCTTGTGTAGCGCCTACCTCCTTAGGCTTACGTGCTAATAACTCTTCCGGTTTATCGTTCAACAAAGCTACATGGTTCGAATTCCAACCTGCTAACGTAAAGCCTGCCTTGCTGTGTACCTCGGTGACCTGCCTAGCCGTTTCGATTGCCTCGTGCAACGTCGCGTAGCTGTCTAAGTAATCGTCCATATAATGACTGTTGGTAATGGCGTTAAGGGCTCGCGGATGTGTATCGGCGTAAACGCGCGCGTTGTAGTCCCTAACACTATGCGCAAGAAACGGTGAACTTCTCGCTCCGAATATCATAGAAGTCATTACGTACTCTTTCGGTGAACTACTACGATCGTTACCTCGCCATAAAAATAATTGCGCGGGTTGGTCGCGGCGGTCGATCTTAACACGCAAAAACATCTCTCTAATGTCCGCTGACACCGCTATCTCGTTTTCACGAAACCGAAATAATATACCCGGAAAATTACGTAACAAGTCGGGGCCGTCTAACAAATAATCGTTCAGGCACTTGCCTGATGTGCGAGCTGCTGCGTCGAATACTAGCCTCAGCTTTCCCGGCTTGTTCGGATTCCGTACAGCGAAGTGTGGCAGGTACCAGCTCTTCGGATCCTCTCGTTCTGATCAGTCGCTTCTTTAGCATAACCCTTCTCCAGGAGGTCGTTCACTTGCTTCGTATAAGATTCGTTGAACTCCGGCGACTGATCCATCTTCCTCTCAATGGCTCGGAGTCTGCGTGCTGCCATATCATAACTCGGTGGCAGCTTGACGTCGTCGTCCCTCCATGGCAATCCGACTTGGTAGCGCTCGCCGACCTTCTTGACGGTGCGCTGGAATATGTCAACAGCGCGCTCATCGTCCCGTCGTAGCCTGCTCTTGAGCGAGATACCTATCGAGTCGACCTCATATTGCTTCTTGAGGAGATCGGTCAACTCCTCGTCCGGACTGACATACGTTTTGACGTCTTCTTCGTATCGTGTATTAACGTAAGATATATGTAGAACGGTTTCACTATCTTGCCTACATATACACGAGGCGCGGTTCCCTGAACAACCCATCCCAATAACGTCCTAGCGGCAATGGGCTGCCTGCAAGATCCTATTCGTAAGTTCCGTGATACAATTAAATGCCAATTATCCGAACCTATAAGCACTTTAGGTTTAGCATTATTATAGCGCACTGCGTTCGGTAAGCTACGTAAATGTTTCAACCGTAGACATTCCTTACCGATGGATTGCGAACCTACGTTTAAGTTGTTAATCGTACGAGCGTTTATCACATACGACTCGTTTCTCGTTTTACCGCGTATGCTTATTTTCACTACGCGACTATTAGCCTCTCGTTGGCTATCCGATAAACCTTGTATCGTCAATGGCCTCGTCGGCCCTTCCGTACCTAATTCACGAGCTAACTCACTATCTATCAACGAGATCGTAGATCCTTCGCCGAGGAGCGCGTAAGTTTCGATCTCTTTACCTCGCAGTCCGCGCACTATTGTAGGACACACTTTTAACAACACTGTTTTATCGTTAGCCGTATATAGTTGCTGGCGTCGGTGCGGGTACGACGGAGGGCGCAGATGCCGACAGATAATCGAGTGGAGAAGCGGGGGCTTCTTCGAACACGTGTAGTCCTACCGGCGTTTCGTCGTCGTTCCTGGCTTTCTGGCTGCTTCTCGTTTTACGCATGGTCCCACGTTGCGGCTTCCGATCGTCTTCAAAAAGACGCACGTATGGATTGCCGTTCCTGCCACCTAACCTAACGGTGCTGTTCGGTATTCCGTATGGTATTCGTCCGGCCGCGTAAACGCGGTAGAAACAGGAAAGTTAGTCGTTAAAACGACTAACGACGTTGATGGTTGACGGAGATTCAGAAACAGGGAATGATTTGAGATAATCTTCTATCTTCTTTCTTCACTGATGATCTTGATCTTCTGTATGACGATGGACCAAAGAAATGTAGGGGATGAGAGCTAAGTGGACTGTATTTATTTGTTTTTCTATTATGTATACGCTAGGGATTACTATATTGCTGCAAATTGAAATGAAATTAACTAACTGAGCCTAATTCTGTGACATCTGTCTGACTAAAGGGTTGAGTTGACGAATTGAATTAAAACCGTTAAAATGAATTTACTATATTTACAAACTATTTACAATTTATGCGGCAGTTAACACTAAACCATTAGGGATATTGAGGGCTTCTTGCTTGCTTGTTCCTCCGATTGGGCCGCTTGCTGTCGCTCGAATTGCCGTCGCTCGAATGACGAAGCCGCGCCAGAAGCGCTTCTTATATTCCGTAGGACGGTGCGCCGTAGGCATCGAGTTAGTGAGAGTGTCGTCCGCGCGGGGCCCTTGTTCTAATGCGGGGCACGCGGGGACGTGTCGACGTGGGTGCGGTGCGGGGCGATGGATGAATCTACTCGCCGTCCGCAACAACTAGCTTGCTAGGCAGACGTTGTTCTGCCCTTTTCGACCACACTTTGTCATGCCCTATTAAAAATCCTTATTTTCGCAAAAAATAATAATCGTGGGTCACTCGTGGGCAAAAAACTATCCTATCTCTCAAGTTGGGCCAAACTGCACATGGTGTGCAAATTTGATTAAAATCGGTTAAGTAGTTTAGGAGTCCATCGCGGATAAACGTGACACGTAATTTATATATATATATATATATATATATATATATATATATATATATATATACAGATATATTTGTATATATATGTATACAATTTGACCCTTTTTGAAATAACGGGATTTTAAGTTATGAAACTAGAGCTTATTATAATCTGATGAAAAAATTATAAAAAAATTATTCTGATTACAGTTTTTTTACACATATTAAATTTTTTTTCATAAAAATAAAATTATAATTCGTTTAACTATATTAGTACCTTGTAGGGAGGCAACTCTCCCTATTCCATAGTACTTGCTTGGGGGGGTCATTGTCAATTACCAATAGCTACTACACAAATCGACATAGAGATGTGATTTTGGTATCATTTTGTTGCTGATAGAATAAACTTAAAATGTTAGTGATAAAAAAATATGTTAATGGGCGAGTTTTTTTAAACTTGAAATAAGTGACAAAAATCGTAATTTTTTTTAATTTTTACCACAAATTTTTTAATTTTTGCGAAAGTTACCAATCTGTTATCATGTTATTTATCATTTTCTATTAAAAAGGGTTAACAGTGCATTCAAAACACTTTTTTTCGGCGTCAATTTTTAAAACAATCTTAATTAAACGAATTATAATTTTATTTTTATGAAAATAATTAAAATATCTGTAAATAAAAATTTGTAAGCAGAATAATTTTTTTATTATTTTTTCATCCAGTCAAATTAGCTCTAGTTTCATCTTACTTAAAATCCCGTTATTTCAAAAAGGGTTTATTTGTATATATGTTTATATAATATGCATATATGTATGATATATACATGTATATACATATACATATGACATGACACAAAACATGAACTTTAAAATGAATTTACAATTTTATTAACTTTAAACGTAGAATATTTAATGTATTGAACAAAATATTAAATCATAAAATTGTTCAAAACGAAATAAAGTAACGAAAAATAACTGGCTATGAGAGAAAGAGAGAAAGAAAATGTGCGCGCGCACTGCTCTCTCTTGCGTATATCCCCCCCCTCAACTCCCGTTCGTCTCGCCTGATCACACTTTTCGTCATGATTTCATCACCCGTTCGGCAGCTTACTCCGCAAGTCAAGCGTGCTTATAGAATAGGTTGTCCCTACAGGCCATCCCTGGAACTTCCCGCTAAATTCAAATGCAAAGCGCTCCAAATTCTACCTACTATGGAAGAAGGCTAAAGATGTGTTGTCACCTCTGAGGACTAACATGGAACGTCTCACAGTCTGTAATTATACTGGTTAGTCTCTATATTCTTTAGACCAAAACAACAAACATCAACAAACTTGTTATATATGTAGATGATAAATTCCAATTAAAAGCAAAATGTTAAATTGAAGTAAAAGACTTACCCCGATTTTATGAAATTCGAAAATATCGTTGTCATTATATTCATCACTAAACTGCTGTTATAATCAGCACCATGTAACAACGGTTTCGTTTTTTTTGTAATGAAAATGTAACCTAATTCATCTGCATGGGCAGTGCCCGGAAAATTTATGTTGTAATTTATTTTCGACCAATTTAAATCACCATCAAAGTTGAACATGTAATAATATACCAAATTGCTATTATTCATTCTTTTATACCTTTTAATCCATGAATCGGTGCTATAAATATATTGAGAATCAGAGGATAAGTCGACAACGTTATTTAGCGTAAAGTTGGATAAATCGTTAATACAGTAATATTGTCTTATAGATTTGGCTAAGTCCTTAGATATTTTGGACCCTAGTGGATACTCTATATTAGATGGTATAGCATACTCCATATTTTCCATTAATTTTTGCAATCCATCGGAATTTCTTTTAATTTTAGGAATTACGTAAGCACCTTCTATTTCGTTAAATCCAGCTAAAATAGATATATTTTGTCGTAACCCTAACTGTAATAATTTAATGGGATCCGTAGTTATCAATGCATGCGGAGATTCTATTTCGATATTTGGTACAAACATTGTAAAAGGTCTTAAAATCACGTTATCATATTTAGTTAAACTTTTTTCACCATCTATAATGTCAAACACATCCATTTCCTTAAGTCTTATTAAAAGTTCATGTGGATCATTTGAGGACAATCCTAATTCTTTAGCCAAAGTAAGAGCATTATTTTTTGCATGTCTGGCAACTGATCTATGACAAGCAGCGTTACCGCTAATGAGTATAGCTCGTTGAAAAAGATTACTTGATTGTTCAGTTAATAAAAGGTAGTGAGCGATTGTTGCCCCAGAACTATGTCCGCCGATTGTTACTTTATTTCGATCTCCTCCAAACCGTTCAATATTGTTGTTAATCCATTTCAGGGCTAGTATTACGTCTTTTAATGCTGCGTTACCCGATGCTTCTTCGATATCAAGTGACAGAAATCCCAATGCTCCTAATCTGAAATAAAAATCAACATTAGTATATGATGTAGGTAAATATATAAACTTACTCGTATTAAAACATTTTGTATATTATACTATTATTTCATCAATAACCTGTAGTTCATCGTTATAAAAATTAGTCCGTGTTGTAGGAACATTTGTGGTCCGTACAAAAGGTCGCTGTTTCCTGATAGTGAATGAAATATACCGCCATGTATAAATATAAATACTGGCAGAGCTTTTTGCTTCGTGTGTGCAGGTACATAAATATTTAAAAACAGGCAATCTTCTTTCATTTGTTCTCTTTCATACTTTCCTTCTCCTTGTACACATACAGGTCCTTCACGCGTGGCGTCAAGAATTTGCTCCCATGACTTTTTCGGAACTGGAGGCTGAAATCATACCCATAAATAAATGTCACTAAAAATCAGGTTTCGGTAAGTGATATTTGTATCATCTTAAAATCTTAAAGCGAAAAAGTAGTTAAATAAACCTAACTGGCGCGCGATACTAATGAAGGTCTACCAAATCGAATAATTTTGCATTGTTTTGAGAAGTTGAAAAAACCGTTAAAATTACTTTTAAATTATAGTATATAGTAAAGATCTGGTGTTTTCTATATTCTTATTGATAAATTAGAGTACAGACTAAGAATGTCAGAATTTATGGCTTTTTATAGCAAACAGTAATGCAGACTCACAACTCTGTTTTCTAGTTTTCCATGTGTAACGTACCTATATGTTCAGCAGTGGATTTATTAAGGGCTATGATGATGATGCTGCAACATTATAAATCCATTTGTAATATTTCATGTAAGTTATATACAACCAGTATCAATTTTTAAACTGTATTTGATAATTTTGTTGAGAATCACAATAATATAAGATTGACGTTTTGATTTTTCGTAATACATTTGAAGATTGAATACTAATATAATTACCATGAAGCGCAATGCACCAATAGGACTTTCAGCATATGGAATACCTAAATAAGAGAAATATAATATTTTTTCCCATTGGTTTAGTGATCCTCTTACAGGTCCAGTGGTCGTATTTACAATTTTTGTATGGATTGAAGGAAGTATCGTAAGTATTATGAAAATAATTATTTGAAAAACAGAAGAAAGAAATTTTGACTTCATTTTATCCATGGTCATTTTAAGCCAGCACATCTACAATGGAAAAATAAATTAAATTTAACGCATAATTAACGTTAAAATTTATTGATGTAAGTAGTTGCATAAATATATTTAGAAAAATAATTCAAAGTACCATCGACATCATCGTTAAAGCTCTAGCGAAAGATGAGCATAACATGTTTACCCCGTAATTCACTATAAAGCATAGTCCTCAACCATCTGAATCAAACGACAAGAGCGAATGGAGTGGGCTTGATATGTGTTTGCGAAAATTTGAGAAGAGAAAAACGTTCGTGTGGATTTAAGTTCAGAATGCTTTAAATGTTTTTGCAGCTGTCCACATAACATTTTACAGCGGCTGTTTTGTTATTACAATGCGGAATTACATTAATAATGAATATTGCCAAACTGTACTTTAATATTAATCCTGAGTAAATCTACTCGCAGAGTAATCGACTCGAATTAATTTTTAGTCGAAGACACAACAATTTTACTCAAGTTTCTTCATCACCGTTCTCCATCATCGTCCACCACTTTCGTCCACCTAGTGGTATGTGGATATTGCGGTTCATAGACATCTATATCTATCCTCGATTAAGAATCAAAATACAGATGCGTTGTCACCCCTGAGGACTAATATGGATTAATTCTAAGTAAGTAAGGGTTACTTTGTGGTTCTCTACATATCTACATAATAATATATATATATATATATATATATATGCATTAAGTTTATATTTAGATTTATTTATGCAATTATATGTAGGTACGTACGGTAGGTATGTACGGTAAAGATTTACCATACTTATTTAACATTTTATTTCCTCAACCATTGCTTGACTGCCTCGTTGATCGAGCGTGAATGCTGATCATGTCTTTCCGGTTTCGAATCCTGAGTTGAGCAAAATCAGTTACAGTTTGCACTCACACTCGTGCGCTATAATCATGTCCTGCTTAGATGTCTAGTTCCCATTGAGACGATTGTAATTCGATTTGAAGTACCTACATTTATTTCTTCTAAGATATTTTTACTTTCAGACGTTTAACAGGAGTCGTGTCACAGATGCATACCTTATTATTCAACACTGCATAATATGTTAAGGTTTTTATTTAATGGTATTTAGATTTTTCTATGTATTTATTTAAAATACTCCAATAGTAACATGGAAACACTTTTTTTATAACGTAGGCTCTTTCTCCCTCACGACACTTGCACAGTAGTTGTAATGAAAGCAGGTTAGTAACTAAGAAGGAACAAACTTATGAACTTTTTGTCTTTCTTATCTTAATGACACGACACACAAGTAAGTGTTAATAGTACAAGTTTCTAATTCTGCGTTATTAACTGAACATTCTCGTAACTGTTCTATGATAAAGGTTATTCTTAATGATTTAGCGGCGACATTAGTTTATAGATTCTTAGTAATGTTGCAATTATATTAATTTGCAAGAAATTTTATACATATAACTAAAATTAAACCGTTTGTCAGTTATATCTAAATTACTTGTTTCTAGATTAGGGGGACATTTGCATTATTTGCGTGCTACTGAGATATGAATATCTAACATTTAACATTTTTTTCTGTCTGTCCAGGCAAACTTCGGAATGGCTGAACCAATAGAATACTATAATACATACATAATAGAACGGGGGAGTAGGCGGAGCCCGTGTAGCCACTAAAATGTCACTAATGTGTCAATTCACACGTATAACTGTCAACACGAGATGTGTTTTGACGTTACCATCATTTCCAAATTTCGTATGCAAATTATTTAGAAAATGCCAAATTGCACACTATTTACAAATAAATATGTATTAAAATTTAAACGATTTTTAATGATGATCTTGAACATTAATCAAAAGTCTAAAATTTTAAATTTACTCAGTCTGTCAAAACACGAATCGGGTGTGTAGTAGTGATAATACGACGCAATTGCTTATATGTGTGCTCCCGGCGACGTCGACCCTCGTAGAAAATAAGGTAGACAGCCATTCTATTGTGTATTATAGTATTCTATGGCTGAACCAATTGTGACGAAAATTACCAACAGATAGCGCGCAATGCCAGGAGAGATCCATATGAAGAGACAGACCAGTTTACTTTAGGGACCTATTGCGAATGTAAAGGAAGTTTGCGCACGCATGGCATCATGAGAGGATACAATACGAGATCTGAAGTCGATGCTAAGATATAATGTATCGAAGAATAACAAATATATAAGCATTATTTTATCAGCTATTAAGAGATAAGATAAGATTTTTTTAATGATAAAGAGATTGTAAAGTAGTAGAGACTTTATGAATTAATTCGGTGAAATGAGGTCCCCAGCTCAATGTACCTACCTACAGTTACTACTCCATTTACAAGCAAAGATTTTAACTCAAAGAACGGTATAAAGCAATCATTATAGTGATGTTATCATCATCATTACAGCTCACCACAAGTCCCCTCCCTCAAAGCCACAAAGCACGGTATGAGCCGTCTGCATTTATCGTCTTGATGAGTCTCTTACCAGGTTATGGGACTTTATCTAGTGGGAGGCCGCCTAACGTAGCGGAATCGATTTTAGTCATCATTCTCGAACTTTCCATATTAATTGCACTTCATTGATTCGGATTAACAGTGACGCCAAAGCACAATGACCAATCACAGCATACCATAGTTGTTATCAATATCAGATTGCACGTAAATTGTCGTCGGTGTACCGATAGTGCGAATAATTAATTTTGGAGTTGAAAGAATTGATGAAACTTGAGAAAATTAAAAGAGAAAGAATATCCACAAACAAGGTCCACTGAAAGAGTTTTTGTTCTACATAAACAGACTGCTGACAACCATAACCTACTGAGTTTTCACAGGACTGGCGGTGTGGTACATTACTGTGCGTTTGACTGTATCTAGGAAATCATTTTCATAATTATTTCTTAAATTTATGCAAATACTACACATTAAATAAAATTAATTTTACAGATTCTATGAGCACTTTACAGCACCCATGGACGTAGGTAGTTGTCTACTACCTACTAAGACTAGCAGTAGAGGACGGAGGTAGTTGTCATAAACTGAAATAAATATCATTAATTAGGGCATAATTTATTTTGAAAGCTTTTATTTAACTTGCAATGTGTGTGTTTGTTAGGATCAAATCTTGCTAGAAGATTAAGCTGAAATTTTGCATACCGTGAAACCTGGTAACTTAGCCATTTTTGGAAAGACTTAAAAGTTTGGAATCAATTTTCGCGCATAAAAGGTACTCTTAGAATGGGCATCAATGTTTAAAGTGACACTATATTCTTCAAAGATTTGGTGTTTATTAGTGATTTAAACAAATACTAACACTAAATATACAAAATATTTAAAAATAACTTTGTGACAACTTTGTTATCAGGGTTTATAATTAAAATAATAGCATTTGAATTCAAGGTTGTATGTAAGTGTACCCTAAAATATAATAGGTACACTCAGAGTATTTACTCCTCTAATTGTTTTGCAAATAGCTAAGTTTACGCTTGAGGCAAAGTTGCCCTCCCATTTACCAGTTTTTCATTCAAACTTGAAAATGTGTGACAGGGTTGTTAAAAATCTTTGATTAGATACTTTACTCAATTTTTGTATTTAAAACTTGTCACAATAATTTCTTAACCAAGAATCTAAAATATATCAAACAAAAATACTCTCCCCCTAAAATTATATCGGTGCAATTATCAGCTTAAATCAATTGTGGTATAGATAAAAAAAAACTTATCGCAATTATTTTTAACAAGTATTTGACTAAAAACAAGTACATAAGTAAATACGAGTACATTTCTTCAATTTTTAACATTTCTTCCATTTTTAGAATTGTCTTGTCTGTTTCTTTGTTAACGTAATATGTGATGTATAAAGTACTAATTCATATCAAAATAACCGTATCTTTGTGTTAACTTTAGCCTTTGTTTTATTAAAATCGGTTCATTCTATCAAAAGTTATGATTAATATTTTGAAGTATTATTCTCTCTCTCTACGAATTATAAGTACGACTTTGTTTAATTGCGGTGTTGTGTCATCAAGTGCATTTTAATCTTATATCATAATTAAATGATGAAAAATAATTTTCCATAGCGATATAATTATATCCGAAACTCAGTAAACGAAAATAAGAAAGAATAACGTAATAAACATAAAAAATATATTGGTGGAGCCACGTGTTTAAGGCTGCCGAAAATCTAGTTCCCCGGTCAAACCTCAAACCTATTACGCGAGATATTAACTAAAGTGGACTGTATTTGCGATTGCTTCTACGCTTACGTAAAAGCGACTACTATAGCATGCGGTACAATGCACTCGCTCTTCCCTAAACTAAAACTATTACTTGCCAAATCGATGAAAGGAATCCTGCCTGATGAGGAGAACACAGAATTGGAACGGTTAAAACAATTATTAAATATTAATCAGGCAGTAAATTAAGGAATATTGACTCACCGGGGTTCTTCTATCCTTTAGAGCACTATAGCGGCGACTTCTGGAACACTCCGGAGAGAGGCAGTGCGCGACGATATCTCACACGAGGTGAGGCGGGTTCCTGGAGCTCGACTGCTTCCAGGCCAAAGCGGTTTCTACTAGTGATGTGTTTCCAAACGAGCGCGCGGGAAGAGAGAGAGCGCGTCGGTCGCGCGTGTCTTATATATCCTCGGCTCCGGTGATTACGCGATGTTCTAGAATCGTCTTCTTTCCCCTCCCACCCCATCACCCCGATGTGTCGATAGGAGGGTACGAATGATATCGTTTTGGAAAGGAATAATGATTCAGCAAGTTCCTACCGTCATAAATAAAAAACGCGAATGGTTTTCCGCGCAACCATCTCCCCCGCCCTTGAAGGATTTCCTTCAAAAAAATAACTAAACAACTAGAGCTAAGATCAACTAACAAATAACTAACTAACGCTAAGATTACCTAAATTCAACTACAATTTTAATCTAGAAAGCTAATTTAAATTATGGAAGAGGCAAGGGGCACAAACGGACAACAGGACGTAGGTAAGACCCAACCGTGGTCTTAACGCGAGCTATCCTAATTACTCCGTCGGAGCCGGGAAAGACCTCCTCGACGATTCCTAACGGCCAGTGGAGAGGCGGCGTATTCTCCTTAGTGAGCACAACTACA